CTCTTTTTAAAATGACTAATCCTTGTGTTAATTTGGATTTTCATGTAATCTTAGGAAATCTGTTTATATTTGATATGAATGTCATTCTCTTTAGATGTTTCTCATTTTCTTTTTTTACACTTTACTGTCCTGTAAGGACATAATGAAATATTTTGCCCAACTTTAGGGATTTATTCAAGGGATTAAATCACCACTCTGTTAGGATACATAAACTCACTTGAGACATGAATTGATACCTGATAATTGCATTCATTTATAATTAACAGTGCAACTTAAACATTGATTCCATGATTTTTATGCTGAGAAACCTGAGGATCATTTATTTATTCATTTATATACTTCCATTGTATGCTAGTTTTCTAGACTCTGGAGACATAGCATGAAATAATACAAATCTCCTTACCTCCATGGAATTTTAATTCAAGTTGGAATGTTAGACAGCAAACAACTAAAGTGAATAAATATGTACTTTCATTTGGAGGTAAGTGGTAGGAAGAAATAGAAAGCAGGATAAGGAGTTAGAGAGTAACATGAGTGAGGAGACTATTTTATGTAAGTGCTCAACAGTGGCTTCTCTGAAGAGAAGTGAATTGAAGGATTGAGCTATGTGAAGAATTGGAGAAGAGCCATCCAGACATGAGAAAGAGCAAGGGCAAAGGCTCTGATGTGGGACCAACTGTGGTGAATATATTTGATGAACACAGCAGGCAGACCACCATGACAACTACTGAGAGAGGTTGGAGGAACATGAAGGGAGATGAAGTCATACAGACAGGCAGGTGTCTTATTTAGATTGTACTCTGAGGCATTGGTAAGGACTTTGTGTTTTAAGTGTGATGGGAAACTGTTGGAATTTAAAAAAAAAACTCTTAATTTTGAAACAGTGTTAGACTCAAAGAAAATTGTAAAAATAATGCAGAGAGTTCACATATAGTCTTCACCTAGTATTAACATCTTCTGATTGGAGTTGTCTTTTCAAGGTAGTGTGTTACCTTAAAATATCCACTCTCCTGCTGCTATATGAAGACTGAAGAGGCAAGAGCAGAAGTACAGAGACCAGTTAGGAGGTTACTAGACGATAGTATCCACTTAAGAGTTGATGACTACAGTGGTGGTCAGACAGTTCCTTTTAAAAGAGGTTTACCCAAATAGCCTCTCAGGACTTTTATTTTAAAAAGCCTGGTTTGGAATATTATAGTAAGAAATTTTGAACAAAGCTTTTCCTGAATCAAACTTCTGTACTTGGTGGTGTTTTAAGAGGAGCAAAGTACTAGCATAGTTTAAATCAAGAAAAATAATTCATTGTGCATAAGCAGCTTTGATGATGAAAGAATAAATGAAATAATTGAAATGGTGAATAAAGGACTAGAGTCACTTTCCTTTATGTTGAAAATCCATGAGTTAGCTCTTAGTCATTGGTTCCTTATTGTAATTTGCCAGTACTTTTTCTTTGAAAGAATGAAAACTAGTAAGTACTAAATTTCAGTGTTACTTACTTATTTTTTGTGTGGAAAATGCTTCTTTACTGTATAAAGACTCATTACCAAGATTTTTCAGTGCAGAGATAGGATCTTATTTTGCGATTTACGTGGCTGTTTATCCTGTTCATTTTGTTTTTACACATTGTACTTAAATGGTAAGAGTAATAATCCATAGTTAGAAATTTAATGAAAGCATTGTACAAATATTTTCCTAATACTGTTAACCCATGTACCCATGATATGCTTTTAAAGTGGTAGCAAATAAAATCATTTCTTCTCAAAATGAACTTTTCTAATGTTTTGCTCTGTAACATCAAACAGTCTATTACTGACTTATATTCTTAAACTATTTTCTACCTTTAATTTACTATAAAACAATGAGATGATAGAGGGGAAAAAAAAACTTGGTCTGGATGTTGAACCTAAAAAACTATGGCTGGATGTTTCTTTTTGGTAGTGTCTGTTCTCTTTCACTTTAAAACTAAAATGTAGCATTTTTTGCAGTTGAAGCCCAAGAGTTGTAGACACTTCTATTCTTTGTTGTTATAGTTGAACTCTTTCATGCAGAGCTTTATGAAATTTATTTTTGTTAAATAGGGAACATAATCATAACTATCTGTAGAGATTTTGAGAGGATTGTATGAAATACTTGTAGAATATTTGGGACAATGCCTGGCAAAGAGCATGCTCAGTTAATATTAGTTCTTACTCGAAGTACTGTGGGTAGTGTTAGGATTATTTAAAATAGCTTTAATTTTGCTTATTTTGAGGAAGTGGTCTGTGAGCGTCTTCTGTTATTCACCTAGTATTTAATGAGCAGCTTCTTTCTTCCAGGCACTTTAAAATGTTCTCATGTACATTATCTTGGCTAAACTATCCACAACAGCTCCCACTTAATAATGAGGGCATTAGGCTCTGAGGTTAAGTCATTTAGCCATGATTTCACAATGAGAGATGGGCTCTCCAGTGTCATCTACTAAAACATGTCACCTGACGTATAAAAATGTTTTATATTTGTCATAGTCACTCATCTGAATGATATTTATATTGGATACGTCTCTATGTGCAGAGCTATATGATATAGGCTATGGAGATTAAAACATCGAGTTTGGTACACTATTTCATAGTGTTGGAGATAGCGGATATAAAGTATTGAGTGATACTATTAGAAATTATATACATTTAGAGGAGGGAAATGTTATTTGCATTGAAGGAAGAAGTTATCAGGGATAGTTTCTTGAAAATGGGGTTAACATTTTAAGCTGAGTAGTTTGGTAAGATTTGGACTTGGTATATGAGCAGTGAAATTTGGACATCCCAGTAGAGGAAACTGAAGAAATCAGGGGATGTATATAGAAAATAGTGAATAGTTTGTTTTGGCTACTGTGTATAGTGCATAAATGGATGTAGGGGAAATTTAGATTGGAAAGGTAAATTAGGGCCAAATTATATAGAGCCTTAAAAACTTGAGTAATTATTGTGAATTCAGTAAATTTGTTTTAGCCACTTATAGAGGCTAGTTACATACAATTTGGGGGGAAAATAAAGTTGAATGAGAAATTGAGACCATAGTGAGATTTTATTATTAAAAAGGAAGATTTGGGGCATATAGAATGGTAGAAAGACCACTTTACTATGAAATATGGGTACAAAATTTCTAATCTTGGCTTTGTCATAGAAAGTAGTTATGTAACTTTGGGAAGATTTTTATTTTTTAGTTCTGTAAGCATTAGCTTCTTAATAAGTGAAATGAGAGCTCATATAAAAGATCATTAAGGCCCATATTAAGATGGTGACTATGTCATTTTTTGGTCCAAACTAGGACATTAAAATTGAAAGGAGGTTCTATTAATAATTAAGCCCAGTAGCAACCAAATTATACTTTTGCTTCTTATCCTATTGTATGATGAGTTTGCTTTCCCCTGTTAGAGTTCAAAACTCAAATTGAAAATACTGAAAGACAGGGAAGAAGATTAAGACATCAATTATAAATGTTTAATGTTGTTGAACAAGGTAAAGATAGTATAATCTGAGGAAACTGAATTATTTTTAAATCAGTGTCTCCTTGATGTTGTGAGTGGTAATGATTGAAAATGTGCATATAAACATAGAATTGTTTTGAAACATATATTGTTCAAAATAAAGTCTAGAACTTTGTAAGTAAGACTAGAACATTTGTACACATCTCTATAAGTGTATAACTCAAATTTGCCTGGCATGGAGGGGAAGTGATGAGATAACTTCATTTATGCTTTTTTTCCTAGACATACTTACTTTTTTAAATGTCTTAAGGGACTGCAGTATTTAGAGTACTTTATAATAGTTGAATCTACCAGAATGCTGTGCTTGCTGTTTTAAATAGTCTTTTAATTGTTTTTTTAAAATCTTCTTCTGATGTTATGTTCACTATTATAAATGTTCTGACTTACCATAATGGTTCAGTCCAATTATGTGTAGAGGCAGCTCTCTCCCAATACTGTAAGAACTGTATGAGAGCCTCAAAACCGAATGAGCTTTGATAGCAGGTTTGATATTTTGAACCACTTTCTCATATTTTCTAGTTTTCTCATGTTCTAGGTAAATTATTCTCAGACATTTAATATTCATTCATACCACCTGGGTATCTTGTTAAAAGGCAGATTCTGATTTGGTAGGCCTGAAGTGGGCCTGAGATTCTGCTCTTCTAACAAGTTCCTAAATGATGTGGATGTTACTGTTCTTTATAGACTACAGAGTATGAAGGTCCTAGGTGTCTTCTTTGGAATTCTAGCAGACTTATGATATATGGCATTAAATATGGCTGGTTTCTTTCAGAAATTGTATTAATAGTTGTTTTAAAAAAGGAAATTTAGAACTTTTGTAAATTTAATAACAGTTGATTGGAATAATAATTGTTTTTTGTATTCACGTTTCCCTCTCATATGTTTACCAGTGTCTTAATTCTAGTTTTGCTTCTTTCTCATTTCTTTTTTTGTTGTGGTTTTTACTTTTCTTTAATATGTTATTGTGTTTGTGGATCTGGTCAGGGAACCGTTACTGTATTTTATGTTTGTATCTACATTTTATTTTGCATGCGTAACGTGGCTTTGCCTGGATGTTCTTTTTGGTAAGTTCCAAATTTATAAAGCATATCATTTTTTGTAGTGTAAGTTATAATGTTTTTCACCTTCTTTTCTCCCACTTCTAGTAATGTGATCATGCTCATGAGTTGTTTTTAGTTTTTTTTAAGAGTTCATTTGGTAATTTTTTTTCCCTAACATATTCCACTTTTCCTTAATAGTAGTGCAGTTTGGTACTAATCTGCTTTGATTCGTATTATAGCCTCACACTCTCAGTTGCTGATCACTATTAGCAATTTCTGTCTTGAGTATTTTGACTTTTTAAAAGAGCCTCAGTCATCTAGAAATACTGTTCTAAAAGCTTGTGCTTCTATATAGCAATCATAAAAGAAGATAGTTTGTAGCAAAATTAAATAATTTTGTTCTCAGTAAATAATAAATTTTAATTTTGTTTTTACAGCAACAGCTTGCACAACTACAGAAAGAAAAATCAGAGATTCTGAAAAATCTGGCATTATATTACTTCACATTTGTAGATGTTATGGAATTTAAGGTATATATTTTAATATGTAAAATTTAACATTTCAGAGATTGATATCTGTTAATTGTATAAATTGCTCTGTTACTTGTAGATAATAAAATTAGAATTCTTCTAGAACAAAAATTTAAAATACATCTTATTAGTGTATATATTTTCTGAATTTAGTAGTATTTATATAGGTAAAAAATTAAACTTTTTATTTTCAGGACCATGTTTGTGAATTGCTGAATACTATTGATGTTTGCCAAGTCTTCTTTGACATTGTAAGTATTATTTTCAGAAAAATTTTCAGTTCTTCTGTCTGTTTCTAGTAGAACTAAGGGGACCACATGCTTTCCTTTAGAGAAAATTTATATGATTAGTGTATAAAATTTCAGCATTGTTAATTTTGCTTGTATTTTTTAAGGTAAGGCTTTATAATGTATTCTCTACTTTCACTTGTTTATTTGATTGTTGTTGAATATAAATCTTATACCTACTGGGAAATAGTTGTTTATTTTAGTATTTTATTTTAATGGGCCCAATTTTAAAAGGTTATGCAAATAATATTTTTCTCTATAAAAGGCATACTTAATAAAACCTTTATTAGTAAGACAATTTCTAGATATAGGAAGTCAAAGTGAAAAATGTCTTATTTAATACTCCTTTTTTCTTGCTTAGTGAGATTTGCTTCTGTGTTTTTTATTATTCTGGTTTTGATTATCCATTTAAACTGTTAGTTTGAATAGGGTGAACGCAAACACTTTTTCATCCATAAAATTGTGTCAGAAACACAAAACTATTATCTAACACCCAAATTTTAGACATGTTTTTGGTGAAAGGAATTAGATAGAATTTTAGAAATGGAGATAAAATAAATAACTATAGAAAATTATTAGCTTTCAATAGCTGCCATGAAGATTTTTGTGTATGTGCTTAAAAGTTTATGAAATAGGAAGGAGTTGAACTTAATGTTTTTTTCCCTAGACTGTAAACTTTGATTTAACAAAGAACTACTTAGATCTGATTATAACTTATACAACACTAATGATACTGCTGTCTCGAATTGAAGAAAGGAAGGCAATCATTGGATTATACAACTATGCTCACGAAATGACCCATGGAGCAAGGTAATATAAAAATCTGTGTGTAATTATTAATTTGATGGTTTGCAATTCAGTGATATTTGATATGTGTGTTTTAAGTGACCGAGAATACCCACGCCTTGGTCAGATGATTGTGGATTATGAAAATCCTTTAAAGAAGATGATGGAAGAATTTGTGCCCCATAGCAAGGTAAGAGCTGATTTTTAGTTGTGCTTTAATAGGCATATGAGTTAGTTTAAGGGTGGATAGTTGGTGATAAACTACTTTTAAGAAAGAAAATTATAATGAGATGTGAATAATAGTTATGCATGGTTTTATCTAATTGTGAACCAGAGAACTCATTAATTAGATTTGGAATAGTGAATAGAAACTCAGAAATATATTAATCCATTATAATTTTAAGGTTCAATATGGGATATAGAGGGAGTGAAGTTTTGTATGTGAGAATGTCTACTCTCACATGGGACTGCCTGGGTTCTAATCCCAACTCTGCCAATTATTGTGTAATACTGGGCAAATTACTTAACCAACTTAACTATATCTCAGTTTTCTTATCTGTAAAAATGGAGTAATGATACCTCATGTGGCAGTTTTGAGGATTAAATGAGTTACTTTGTAAAAAGTATTTAGATACGTAGTATTTGATAAAGTTTAGGTATGTTATAATGTAGCCTCTTAATGAGAAAAAATTGCAGGAGTTTTGTGATAATTTGGAATGTATGTCTTTTATGATATATTAAAAAAAATAGTTCTTAATGAAATGATCTTGGTTCGAAAGAGTTTTGCCATCATGGCTTCTTGCAGGAGGGCTAATTCCTAAGCACATCAGGGAAATTTACAGGTATCTCATGTATCCTCATTATTTATAGATAAGGAGATTGAGGGCTAGAGAAGTGATATGACAAAGTAAGCCGTTTGGCAGCAATAGTGGCAAAACTAGAGCTAAAACCTAGGATATTAGAATCTTGGTCCATTGTTCTTTTTGAATATGGGAGTTAAGACTTTTTAATAATACAGTATTTTGTATGAATCAGTGCTTTTTGTTTTTGTTTTTTTTTAACAGTTAACACAAAGAATTTTTCTTCATTATTCTTACTCCCATGAAAATTCTAAAGATGCATTTTTAGTTTAATTTCTTTGCATTCTATTATACCCACAAATTTATATAGGTTTAATGTCTTAGAGTTAGTTGAATCATTATTTTTGAAAGAAGATGGGGGTGACATCAATTTTGAATTAAAAATCAGCACTGTAGATGGAAGTGTCAGAATTCCTCAAAGTGCTGAGTATATCATAGTCACCTGTGTCTCTGATTTTTATAGTGCTTTTTCATGCCTAGAAATGTCTTCCCCTCTCCTCTCCTATTTTTTTCCTCTGAATGAACTTTTGCCAGTCATGCATGGCGTTGTTTTTATTTAGCCACTTCAAATTTGGTTCTTTTCCCACTTAGGTGATGAAAATTTTCTTAAAGGCTGTTGAATCTCAGTTTAAGCTCTCCATAGCCGTTAGCATATACCGGACTATTAATAACTACTTGAGAATTGTCCATTTGGATTAAACTAGTTATTTCCTAATCTTGATTTTTCAAGTGTTCTAATCTCAGAGTTTGATAGAAAGACCATCATGTATTTGATAAGATTTGTTAAAAGTTAAATTAATTTAATTTTAAAAAGCTATTTGGAATCATTTGGAGTGTGATAAAAACAGATTTCCTGGGTTTTACGTCCAGAGATTCTGGTTCAGGCAGAGCCCTGGATTCTTTTTTTCTGAACAAACTCCCCTGGCTGTTTATGTGCAGCCAGATTAAAGAATCACTTTCTGTAGAGAATTTTTAGAAGCAGAGGTGAATAGCAAAGGATAGTTAAAAACAAGCAAGAAGCAGATGAGATGAAAAAGTAAATACTTTGATGATAAAGGTTTAATTAGTAGACCAAATGGCAAATAAACGTTAAGTAATTTATTAGGGTAAAGTACAGTAGATTATTTTTAGAAAGCATCTTTGAAGAAATATGAGAAGAAGCATTGAGCTCTAGTAACAGTCATATAACCTTAATGTCTTTTTCTTTCAGTGAGAGCTTTAGAGTAGAAAGTGATGCACAAAAGTGTGGCACTAGACTCTTTATCCTTTTTGAAATAAAGATCTCAAGATTGTCAAACAGTTTCACTTTTAAGATGATTTCCTGAGCTAAGCTTCTACTCAGGAATGTCGAATCTATGTAGCTTTCATGAAATTTAAAAAAAAAATCTAGAGGAGGGTAACTGGGACCCACCTCAGATATATGGAGCATAGTTGTAATAGGGCTCTTGTTTTATGATGGTATAATTAGAAACACACAGCAGTTCTAGCTGGAATTTAAATGGGAAGAGGAGAAAAACCCAATCTATTCCTAAACTTTCTTTGTCCCTATTTTAATTAGTCTCTTTCAGATGCACTGATTTCTCTTCAGATGGTGTATCCCCGAAGGAATCTTTCAGCTGACCAGTGGAGAAATGCCCAGTTACTGAGTCTCATCAGTGCACCAAGTACAATGCTTAACCCAGCACAGTCTGACACTGTATGGTTCTATATTTTCTTTTTTGAATGAAAATAGTAAAGTTGATTTTTAAAAATATATAAAGCAGTTCTATTGCAGTTCTTTTTTCTAATTAGTATTAGTTTGTCAGTGAAGTTTATTGTAAAATGCTCAGTATTTGTCATACTGTTTAATTTTTTAGTTTCTAGATTCTGATGCTAAGTTAATATGACTAGTAGTATGTGTATTTTCTTTTAAAGTTTAAAAATTTGCCATATTCTATTATGGTAGAAAATTTGGAAGTTTCAGAAAATTATAAAGAAAAAAACCCAAAAATCACCCCAAATCTCTCCTACTAGAGAGAATTGCTATTGTATTCTGTTCTATTTCTTTTCAGTCTTTTCTCTGTGTATATGAACATAGATGTTATTTATGTAGAGAACACACACACATAATTACTGATTTGGGTATGGGTACGACAGAGAGCATCCAGGTACATAAATCTTTTTTAATTTGACTGAAAACGTTATTCTTCAGAATACTGCAAACTCTGCAGTAGCCTTGGGAAATTGGGAAGGTGTCATTTACCAGATTGAAAATGATTTAGCAGCAATGTTTCTTAAGGAGAAGTGTCAAGGTGTGTAAATGTGAAAAGGGTACAGCTTCCATTGTCCTTTATGCACTGCAAGTGTAAATATAGGTTATAAAACTTTTATCCAACTTTTCAAATATGTTGTGGTGATATTTCAACCAAGAATTGAGTAGTCAGACTTCTCAGGAGGGAGAGAAGGAAGACTGACTCAGTATGGAAATTTTTTTTTAGAATTTCTTTAAACCACAAATTTATATTTTCTCTTTTTAAGATGCCTTGTGAATATCTCTCCTTGGATGCCATGGAAAAATGGATTATCTGTAAGTAAAATTGGTTAGTTTTGTGATTACCTCTCAGATTTAACTTTTGGAGAAAAATAACAAGTAACATGTATTACTTCTGTGTCAAGCACTGTGCTAAGTAAGCCTTCTATGTATATCATTCAGTCCTTATATTAACCCTGTTAGGGTAGTTTTTTGTTTTTTGTTTTTTGTCCTTTTTTCTGAGAGATGGTCTGTTATATAAATGAGGAATCTAAAGCTTAGTACACACAGCTAGTAAGTAACAAAGACAAAGTAAGAACCCGGACTAAATCGAAGGCTCAAGGTCTACATAATATATTGTTATATTATAACATGGCCGTCAAAACTAAATTTTTTAAATGATTTTTTGGTATTTATTCAATTAAGTCTTCTGGTTTTACTTTACTTTAGTACATACAGTAGACAACTCATGTTTAGCAGTATGTTAGATGCATGAGAGAGAAAATTACTAGTTTGTGCTCCTGTGAAGTCCACAAACTAAGAGAAATAGACACACAGAATATGAAATGAGAATTGCCATAGGATAGTTTTTTTCTACCACCCTCAGGCACACTGGCAGAGGGGAATAATTTTGAGCAGTTTGTGCTTTTTATAGTTCTTATAGTTCTTGATGTAGGAAGATATCAACAAACATAGGATTACACAGTTGTGTAGGATTTCCAAATTAGATAACAAAAGGTAAAAGATAATTGAATTCATATAATAGCACCATAATATATTGGAAGAATGTTGACTTTAAGAATAACTCCTTGAGGCTAAGTCTAGCTCTAATACTTTCATTAAGATAACTTCAGGCAAGTCATTGAACCTTCATTTCTTCAATTGTAAAAGGATACCCCCAATTCTTTCTACTCTGCAAGATAATCATGTGAGATAGTACATGTCAAAGGACTTATTTAGTAAAACCTATAATTTGCTATGAAAATGCAAGATGCTATTTCATTTCTTCTGGTGATTTAGAAGAGTAGATTAGCTTTATTTTTCAGTTACTGTAACAACTGTAATGATTACTGTATTATGTATGTATTAATAACCTCTGATCTCTGGCTTAAAATATCTTACTCATTGATTGAAATAACTTCCTTTATAACCCAGAAGTGACACTTTTTTTTTCATCAGTGTAGGTTCAAAGCACTGGTTTTGCAGAGTACAGAAAATTATTATTGAAAAAAAATTGTTGCCATTTTATACACACACACACACATGCGCGCATATATATATGTATATATTATTACTTGTTGCTTAAAAGCCTCAATTTAGTGATTGTATTTATGTTTCTTTATTTTTGAAAAGCTACCCTTTAACTCAAATAACCTAACTTTGGAATACTTTCACATTCACATTTTTTTTCTTTTTGTTTAAAGTTGGCTTTATTTTGTGCCATGGGATCCTAAATACTGATACAACAGCACTGAACCTTTGGAAGCTAGCTCTTCAAAGTAGTTCTTGCCTCTCTCTCTTTCGGGATGAAGTTTTCCACATTCACAAAGCTGCGGAAGACTTATTTGTAAACATACGAGGGTATGACATTTTCAATTATTTTTTCTTATTTGGAAAAGAGTAGTGAGTGTAATATCTATTGAAGTTTTGGGGATAGAGAAGGATCATACTAGTCAAGAAGATAAGCCGTACTGACTTAACAGTCACACCAAGTTGTTTTTAACAATCATTCTGATATGGTAGTAATTATATTTTTTATAGGTAGCTTCACAGATTAAAATATCTAGTGTTCTGTCCTTTTAAAGCTTGTATTCTAGGAGAAAGAAAATACTCTTTACATATTGTAGTATGGTTTTAGACATAAATATTACTAAAAGCATAATATATATTTTCAGAGTGAAATGTTTAGAAGTGCTATTTTAGAATGTAGTGCATTTGGAAAAGTATATGAATCAATCAAAAATACTTCATTACAGTAATTATAACAATTACAGAAGTCAACTGCTGCATATAGGAAATCATGTTTCCTTATAATAAAGTATTCCAAGTGACTCATTTGTATTGATTTCCTGTAACACAAATAATTCTCAAATTTGTTTCTTTGAAATTTTTAATGTCTGCATTTCTTTCCCCTTAAGGTTCTGTAGCCAGGAAATAAAAACAAAGTTGAGCTAAGACTTGGTAGCAATTATGAAATATTTTGAAATTAGGAGCATATAAAATATCCTAGGATCCCCTGAACCTGAAAGTGTTGAATAATTATGTTGGGTTCATTAGCTTTGTAGAAATGAAATTTACCTGTGTTTATTTCATATTCAATTCAATAATGTCCTAAATGAAACTGAGATTTTAAAGAATCTGTTAGTTATTAAAACATTAAGGTATGTCTATTACTGACAGTTTGAGCCAGTATACCATTTCAAATTTTAATGTGCATATGAAATACCCTGGGGTGTAAATTAAAATCCAGTTCCTGAGCATTAGCCATAACCTCCTATATCTCCTGTATCTGTATCTTGGAGAGGTTTACAAAATCTTTATTGAAGTAAATTTATTAACAGAAAAATGCATAAATTTTAGGTGTACAGCTCAACAACTTTGCATATGAATACTTTTGGTGACCTCTTAGATTAAGATGCAGAATATTTCCATTATCCCAGAATATTCTCTTGTGCCTCTTTCTCGTCAGTACTACCGCATCTGGTCTCACTCCCCCTGGCCCTTTCTCAGGGGATCACTATTTTGATTTCTGTCACCATAAGTGACTCTGACATTCTCATGCAGGTCAGTGCCGTCTGTATTTTTCAACTCTTAGTTCACCTTTTATTTTAGATGGTGGAGTACCTGGAAATATCCTGTCATTGTGGGCTTTGTCATTTCCTAATTGATTCATGTTGAAAATCCTGAAGCTTATGTGATGTTTTAGCATATTGACACCCTCTCTGTGGAATCATACTTAAAAATATGTAAACATTTAGAACTAGATAGTCTCTGTATATTGACTGTGTTTTATGTATGGTACAAGTAAGTGTAATAGCATCATGAAGCCAATTGTCTTTTTGTTACACTGTTTTAGTGTTAAATTTACCATTTAGGAATCTCTGTATTTAAAGTCGAGAAGTTTTAATTTTTTACTAAATTGGGAGTGATCAGTCCAATGTAAAATGTGAATTATTGTAGTAATTACAAGTCAGACCATAAGTATAAAAACTCATTATTTATACAAGTCAATGATTACAAAATTAGTGTATTTTGAACATTTGCTTAACGAACACAGAAATCTTGGCATACTTAATTTAGAAGTTGGAGTTCTTGGTGTAAGTGGTTCTAGCGAGGTTGTCAGGAAGATAATTTTTCTTTAACATTTTAGGAATTTTGAGTTGTGTGTAGGAGCCAGGAAATTAACAGGTATTTTTAGCATTTATTTTTCAGATGGCATCTTTAAACTGTTTGATATTGGGTTCTGTTCCTTTTATTTAAATGTTTTTTAATTTGAAAAAATATGTTTTTTAAATGGTGAGTAAATATCATCCAAAATTCTATCCCTTAAAATAATTTAAAGTAGTCAAATACTTTCCTGCCCTAGTTTTCTCCACCACAAAACCCCTATACCCAAATAGTCACTAATGTTAATCACTTAGTAAATGTCCTTTGAGAAATTTTTTTATGCTTATGGGATAGCATAAAAAGTCAGAAGTAATAGCTTTGTCAGCACTTCTGATTTTTGGAAATCACCGTTATTATATCAGAAATATAATTTTAATGTCTCTGTTGGGGGCTTAAGGAAATATATTTAGTAAAATTAAAATCTGCATTATGAATATTAATTTTATTACTGGATTTTAATATAATACGAGGTTTATTTTTCTAGGTAGACTTGATTGGGTACTTAAGGTGCTAGGAAAGGATGGGGGTAGACTTCTTCCATATGTATCCAGTTTGAGAACCAGTTTTTCTTGTTGATAAGTCATTTTTGGTTGACTTTCTAGTATTTGACTAACTTGTTTTTACTGTTATTGACCACATTAAGATTAACATAGTTCTGTATTTTTTTTGCACATAGCTATAATAAGCGTATTAATGACATAAGAGAATGCAAAGAGGCAGCTGTGTCACATGCGTAAGTAGCTCTAACTTATGTGTGGTGCTTTCAATCAAGAATTCCTTTTTTAAAGCTTTATTTTGTTGAAGTGAGTGCAGATTAATGGTGTGTAAGAAGTGGTAGTAGAAGTGTGGGACTTTCAATCAATGAGAAATAAATTTATAACCTCTCTATCTAGTAACCTTGGTGTTAAGTGCAGACAGATTTTAAATATTTTTTGAAGTGTTTCAAAAAAAATGTGCTAAGGAATACCATACAAAGGACTTTGTTTTGGTATCATCCAGGTCTCTTATTGCCACTATGCTCTGGTGCCAATTTTTGCAAGTTAGGATGATTTTTGTACTACTTTGTGAAAATTGGTGTATCTTCACATTCTCCCGAATATTATTTACTTTTCAAAGTATGTTAATCTCATATCTTTCCCAAATTTTAGTAAATACATTTTATTAGTAAATATATAGATAACTTAAGTTAGATATTAGTGTTTTTAAGATGTTTGAACTTTTCAATTTTCTCATTTAATAATTTGGTATTTCAGCTTAATTGTTATGTATGGTATACTTGCATAGAATATTTTCTCCAATAAGCCTAGGTAATATAGAGATAACATTATCTGATCCATCAGTATTTCTCTAAGGTAGAGAGAAGATAATACCATTGTCATAGGTGAAAATATAAAACCTCAAAAAGTTTTAGAATTTGGGTTTAGGCTATAGGATAGATATTAGGAATTTAAATCATCTGTATTCATTGCTAACTGTACTATATTATTTCCTCATGCATTTTTTCCCCTTTAATAAAGTACTTATTATAAAATTCTGGAGTACAAATAACATACTTGGGAGTGTGTCAGAATTCCTTTCCTAATCTGCAGAAATACGTGTGATTATCACTTCTTCATGTGATAGACCCTAAGCAGATGTATGGTGTGATAGCTATCTTTTATAAAGATTTTTTTAAAGTAAGGCATTTTTATTTCCTTTATTTATTATATAAGACAATGATAAATAGTAAGCAGTAGTAATTCCTGATTCTCATTAACATGTGCCAGATGTAGTACTTTGTAGACATTTTCTCTCAATATTAACGCTCCTTGCGGCAACCCTGTACAGTAAAATAGTAAAAACCTTTGCTCACTTTCTTAGGTATTACACCAGATGAGCTTAGTACCATCAATTAAAAGAGAGCTTGTCATTAGAATTATACTAACATTGTAAAAGTACTACATATTAGGCATTATGAAAGATGTATCTTTTGAATCAGGTGTCATCATCCCTGTTTTATAGATGAGAGGCTGAAACTTAGATGAAACCTAAGGTCACATAGGCAAAAGTTAGATTTTAATGTGTCTTCTAAAACTAATCTGTTGTGTCACAGCCAAATTTCTGGTGTTGCATATTTCTTCTACTCAGATTTTTTGGCATGTGCTCTGTGTATGAGTGTGTGGCCATTTATTTTTTGCACCTATCTAAATTCTAAAACTTTTTTGAAACAGTGTATATTTTACATAATATGAGTTGGAATATTTATAATATTCTGTGAATTTTTTCCTCATTGATATGTGAGAATAAATTCTAATTTGTAGTTTATTTTTGAGCTGTCTAGTACATGAATATTTATGATTATTTTTCATCTTTCTGTTTTTGGGCAAGATGAGTGCAAAACAGATTTTATCCCAATGCCTTTAATGAATATCCTCTTATTTAGTTAGTTTTATGTATTTAATGAATGAGGATATGAATAATCAGATATTTATTAAGTTATAATTACTGATTCTATATAGGTGTGACAAAAATGTATACAGTAGGATAGTGCTTACTTTTAAGGATTTCACAGTCCAGTTTATAGAGTGCTAGTCTGAATGGTACTAAACTTGCAGAAATTACGCAGAAATAGACATATGGATATTAGGAAATACTTGTTGAAGGATTGATCTTGAGGCTTGGGTAGGATTTTGATTAAGTAGAGAGTAAGAGGGTAAGCATGGTTACAAAATCAGCACAAGAAAGGCAAGGATTAAAAATAAGATTGGGAAATCATTTAATGACAAACACATAGAAGATGATACATGTAAGGGCTTCTGTTTCCTAAGAAAACTTTGGGAATTGACCCTGAAATGATGTTATTTAATTGCTAATAATAATTTTAGTAAAAACAGATAAACTGTAATGCTGGGTGTCTTTCCCTATAGTGGTTCAATGCACAGAGAAAGACGCAAGTTTTTAAGGTCTGCACTGAAAGAATTGGCTACTGTCCTCTCTGATCAACCTGGTTTGCTAGGTCCCAAGGTAAATTGATCTAATTTTTTTTCAACTGCAAATGTGACATACTAAATTTTTTTTTTTAATTTCTTTTCTCTGTGAAATTTTACTAAAATTTTGTCAGGGACTACATAAGAGGGTTTTATATTTAGCTGATAGTGAATTTACTGACTTGACACTTGTAAATTACACCTTCCTGCATTTTCCTCACATTGTGCTTATGTGCGTGTTTTCCCTGATACATACTTTGAAGTTCTGTGTTCTGTCATTTCTGTCTTTTAAAGTTGCTGTTATCGGTTCTTGCCAGTGACTTCTCATTTGAAGGAAGATTATGAATAGATTTTGTTTTTAATCTTTGCATGAGAATTGACAATGTTGTTTTTTTTTTTTTGAATATGTATCAGGCACTTTTTGTTTTTATGGCATTATCCTTTGCCCGTGATGAAATTATCTGGCTGCTTCGTCATGCAGATAACATGCCAAAGAAGAGTGCAGATGACTTTATAGATAAGTAAGTTAGCAATGTTAAAAAATATGTTGTTTGTATATTTTGATTTATGGGTTGTGGAATTTGGGGACTGAAGTAAGATTATTTTGAAAAACTTTTTTGGGGGGCTTTTCATATTCGTTATAATGCAAGGAATATTTTAATGTTAATTGATACGAATTAGAGTGCAAAGTCAACTTTAGCTTAAAATTAGGGCTTTAAGTATTTTCTCTCTAGTACTCTAGGTGGTCACAGAAGTCTTATTTGTTATTTTGCTATAGTAATTTCTTAAGAAATTCATGTTTCAAAATGATTTACTACACAAAAATTTGAATAAGAATTCTAACAGAGTAGTTAAACTGACTGTGTCATTTGAAATATCTTTCTCTCGTTTTAGTCTGCAGTCCCTCAATAGGAGTTAGGTAAATGAATCAGAGAAATAAGAATGTACAGAAAAATCTTACTTCTTCCTAATCCTCCAGTCTTCCATTTATGATTTTTTAAATGATGTATTTATGAGATGGCCTAATTTTATTTTTATTTTGGATTTTCCTCTATCAGTATTTTAGTCCTAGCTTTTTTTTGTTTTGCTTTTTGTGATTTATTTATATGAAATAATACAAAAAGAAAGTAGTTGACATTAAATATTTAACAAGTAGTTGACATTAAATATTTAACAATGCTTTTTCTAAGGAAAAAACAATGTAGTAGTATCAGAGGCATTTCATATTTTCTTTGATAACAATGAATTTATTTTTTAAAATACTTTTCTTGAATTTAAAAAAAAGGCACATTGCTGAATTAATATTTTACATGGAAGAGCTTAGAGCACATGTAAGGAAGTATGGACCTGTAATGCAGAGGTATTACGTGCAGTACCTTTCTGGCTTTGATGCTGTTGTCCTCAATGAACTTGTGCAGGTAAAAACTATCTCAGATTATGCTCCCTTTTGTTCCTTTCTTGCCTCCTTTCTAATAACTGATTTGTTTGTTCGTAAACATTTATGAAATGTAATCTTGTGCCAGGTGGTGGAGATACAAATGTACATAAGACATGGTCACATCTTGTCAAGGAGATCATCTCGAGGGGAGAAAACATTTAGTTGTAGTCCAGCATGATAGGCCTGTTATGCTTAAGTGTGTACAAAGCTCATAGTGAACACAACACTGGAAGTGATTCTTTATCTTGGGAATGGAGGTGTACAGTAACCAAATTATAGAGGGCTTTGCAAAAGAGTAGGTTAGTCATAAATCAGATTTAGTACTTGGGAGGATCACCCTGGCTCAGTGAATAATGGATTGCTCGGGGCCAAGAGAGGAGGCAGAGAGTTCAGAGGAAAAATTACTGTAGTAGGCTAGGTGAGGGCTGTTGAAAACCTGAACTTGGACAGTCACTATGGAGATACAGAGATGGTGGCCACATTATAATTGATAATTAAGTATTAGAGGAAAAACAGAAGGTAAATCTTTTTGCATAGAGTGTTAGAGAATGGCCAGTAAAAATAAAAATTCATCTAGATGTCCTAATTTAATGAAATGTCCTGATTTTATTTTCAGTTTCAATTTTCCTCTATTGATTTTTAGTCTTAGCCTTTTAAAATTCTTTTCTTTCTATAATTTCTTGATTCAGTCTTTTTAATCTTTATATAAATTTCTTTTTAGTTTTTTCCAAATAAATTGTAAGAAAAATTATATTTTATTTCCCTTATTTTATAAAATCATAGATGTCTATAAACTATTATAAGCTATCATACACTACAAAGGAAGAACAGCACAAATTCTCTGTATTAAGACTACTCTGAAACTACTGGTTTTCCAGAGAAGTAACAATACTTTGAAATTCTAGTTTTCTTTCAAACCTACCTAAAAATGCAAATAAGAAAAAAATTTGTTGATTTAATTGTTACCGTGAACTATATACAGTTTACAGGTTACTGTCCTAAACTAGTTTATTTCTTCTTTTATCCGCTAGATGGAGCTCAGATGCTTTCTTTCTAGAATATCTATTAAAAGAGGGAATAGAAAAGTTAATTTTATCCCTAGAGTGTTGCTGCTTTGCTATAGTTTTTTTGAATAATTATTACTTACCAGATAAACCAGAGGCTACTGTGCTATCACAGTCTAAAAAGTAAACCAGACCCCTAGTTTCATGTCATTTTGAAACTTGTTGTGACTAGTTAGATATGTATTAATAAATTTAACAGGTTTATGTTAAAGTTTAACATTTTTTAAGTCACTGCATGTTTTTTGGTGTCTTTTATATAAACTGGATTTTCATAATACTGAGAAAATTAATTTCTAATTTTTTTTCTGGAAATATAGTAATAGTAATAGCAGCAGCAATAATAGTAATTTATTGATAGTATGTTGTATTACGTCTGTGCAACAACTCTGTGAAGGTAGGTACAGTTGTCATTATTTGTTGAAGAAAAGGGCCTTATATTACTTGATCAGTATTGCACAGTTCGTGGGTAATAGAGCCAGTGTTTGAACTGAGGTCTTGGGTGGAGGGTATAGCTCTGGTAGAGTGCATGCTTAGCATGCATGAGGTTCTAGATTCAATCCCCAGTACTTCCCATTATAGTAAATAAATAAGTGAACTCAAGTCTTAACTCAAATGCCTGAGCTTTTTTATCACTGGCTTCTGTTATAAAGTTCACACAGTGTTTTTAACCATTTGCTAGGATTTAAATTTATAAAACTAAGATTAACCTGTTAAAGTAGCTAATTGTAATAGGTATTAAAATTTTTTAAATTATGGTAAAGTATACATAGCATAAAAGTTACCATTTTAACCATTTTTAAGTGTACATTATAAGACACTATGTACATTTACATTGTTGTGTAGTTCATAATGTGAAAATTATGCTTTTTGTGAGCTAAGCATCCACTTTTTTTAAACATTTATTATTTGGCATCTACTTCAGATACAGTTTATCAAATATTCACTTTTTTAACCAGTCTGAGAGGCATTTCTTTGGTCCAAATTTTGTTGAGGTAAAATTTATATACATTAAAAATTAGTGTACTTGGAATTTGATACAACATTGTAAAATGATTATAAATCAATAAAAAATGTTTAAAAAAAATTTAACTTAAAAAAAAAGAAATAGCCAAATACAAGAGGGATGAAATCTTCACAAGAGTTAAAAAAAAAAATTAGTGTACTATTTGAATTTGGGCATCTGTATACATTCATGTAACCACCACCAGTGAAGATGTAGAACGTTACCAACACTTAAAAGTTTTCTTGTGCACCTTTGTAGTTGATTCCCTCTCTAGACCCCAGACATCCCCTTATCTACTTTGTCACTTTTTGCCTTTAAAAAATTTTTTTTGTATAAATGAAATCATCATGATACCAGTTTTTGTTTTTCACTGTTTTCAGTTAGCATAATGTTTTGAGATTCATCCATGTTATTTTGTATTATCAACATTTCATTCCTGTTTACTGCTGAAAGATAATTCCATAGTATGGATATACTGGTTTGTTTGTCCTTCCAGCAGCTGATGGCCCTGTGAGTTGTTTACCAACTAGGTGTTTTTAACATTGTTTTATTTTTTGTTTCTTTTTCAGAATCTTTCTGTTTGTCCTGAAGATGAATCAATCATCATGTCCTCTTTTGTTAACACTATGACTTCTCTAAGTGTAAAACAAGGTAGTAAGTCTTTTAAGTAAAAACATATGTTCCCGCAATTAGGTTTTCAAATTTGATTGTGAAGGAGAGGATTTAACAGTTAAATTTTACAGAATTACTTGTTTTTGGATGTGTTCAATCTGTTCTCTTTTGTTTTAACTTTGTTCTATGAAGCAGAGGTTTCTAAAATGGGTGTGTGATGATGTTTACAAAAATCATAAGAAGTATAGCTTGACATTTCTTACTATTCAGCAAGAGGAAAAAAGGGCATTTTGTAATAAAAAACAAAAGAAAGAAAAATGAGTGCCCCATATGTACCAAAGTGTATATTTGGTCCAAGCAATACCTATGACAGTCATGGATACCATTAATAAAATGTTTAATCTGGGTAGGCACTTTATGTACATTATCCCATTTAATCTGCATCAGTGTTAAAAAGCTGTAATTACTTTTATTTGACAGATTGGAAGACTTAAGGTTTGAGGGTTAACCTCTGTTATTTAACATGGTTTGCCCAAACTCTTAACAGGCATTAAGCACTAGAATATGAACTTAAGTTTAAGTCTGTTAGTTTCAAAAGTTGATGTCATGTACTAGGCTGCCTCTCCATTATTTGAGTACTCCATTCCAGTAGATTGATATGATGTTTTAGTTTTGTAATCTTTAAGTGAAAGGTATCAGAAACCTTGAAAATTTCCGAGTAATAAATTTGTTTATTTTCGTTTTATCAGTCTTTATAGTTATCACACTTAAGTAATGAATCTACTGTAAACTTGCCTGATGATATTTGGTTTATATAAAGTTATTTTGTGGAACTTAAGCATGCTTTCCAAAGTTTCTGTTCACAGGATTTCTTAATGCTCTACATTCGGTTCTTTAAATTGACATGTAAGCAAAATGAGAATCACAGAGTTTAGGAGAGAAGTCTGTACTTTATACTTCTCTTAGCATAACTGCCTCCTTTATCATCATCTTTGTAGGAAGTGAGAATTATTTCACTGTCATAGCTATTAAGTTATTTTTACTTTTTAATTGTGGTAAAATAAACATAAGATAAAATTGACTACCTTAACCATTTTTAGTGTATAGTTCAGTAGTGCTAAGTAAATTTACATAGTTGTGCAATCAACATTCAGAACTTTTCATCTTGTAAAATTGAAGCACTGTAGCTATAAAATAACAACTTCCCATTTTCCTTTTCCCCCAGCCCTAGCATCCAGTATTCTACTTTACGTTTCTATGAGTTTGACTGTTCTAGATACGTCACATAAGTGAATTACAGTATTTGTCTGTCACTGACTTATTTCACTTAGCATAATGTCCTCAACATGTCTTCCATGTTGTAACACATGGCAGAATTTGCTTCCTTTTTAAGGCTGAATAATACAACATTGTGCATGAATGCCATATTTTGTTTATCTATTCATCTGTTGATGTACTTTTTGGTTGCTTCCACCTTTTGGCTGTTGTGAATAATGCTGCTTTAAACATTGCTGTACAAATCTCTTCAAGACCCTGCGTTTATTTTTTTGTATATGTTCTCAGAAGTGGAATTGTCTTAGCTCTTAAATTTTAAAATGTGATTATAGATTTATGAAAACATTACCTTACTTTGTAACCTTTTTTTTCTATTATTGTAGTGGAAGATGGGGAAGTATTTGATTTCAGAGGAATGAGATTAGATTGGTTTAGATTACAGGTAAGAATAACAATAATTTCATTGTCATTCTGTTTTGCTATTGAATATCTTAGTTAACATGAGAACTTGTATAAATAACTATAGTCTTCATAGAAGAAACTTTTTTTAATTGAGATATAATCGATATGTAACATTATGTTAGGTTCAGATACACAACATAAATGATTCAATAGTCAATGATTCAGTGATGTATGTATTTTGAATTGATCACCACAGTAGGTCTAGTTAATATCCATTACGCGTAGTTACAAATTTTATTTTTCTTGCTTTGAGAACTTTTAAGATTTACTGTCTTAGCAAATTTAAAATATACAATACAATATTATTAACTATAGTCACCATCCTGTACATTACATACCCAAGCACTTATTTATTTTGTAATGGGATGTTTGTATCTTTTGATCACCTTCACCATTTCACCTACTCCAGACTCTCTGCCTTTGGCAGCCACCAATCTGTTACCTGTATCTGTGAGTTTGGTTTTTTCTTTTGTTTGTTTTGTTTTTTGTGTGTTTTTTTGATTCTGTATATAAATGAGATCATATGATATTTGTCTTCCTTTGTTTGATATCTTTCACGTAGCACAATACTTTCACGATCTATTCATGTTGTCACAAATAGCAGGATTTCCGTCCTCTTTTCATGGCTGAATAATATTCCATGTGTTCATGTGAGGGGGG